CAGCGCGCACGCCACTTCTGCGCCCACTTGTTCACGTAGCGTCGCGGAGGGACACCCACGTCGAGCTGATGGCCGATAAAGGCATGCTCCCAGTGCAAGAAGACGTCCATCGAGGAAGGGGCCACACCATGCAAGACATTGCAATCACGCACCCAATCCGAAGTTGCGGCCTCTGCCAAAAAGGCGTGTGCCCTCTGCGCTGCTAGTTCGCCGAATTCCAGCCAGTCTGTTGGCGGGGATTCCAAAAAAAGCTCTTCTAGGGCTGCAGCTGTTGGGAACCCAGCATCCTCAGGGCGCTTGTACGTGGATAACCTGCAAGCCACGCGGACAGCGAGAGCTATGTTGTAGTTGGACAGCACATACACAGCTAGGGTCGTTCGGCGAGCTGCAGGCCCCAGGCCACAACATTGCACTCTCTTTTGCTGCCGTCTGGCCTGCTGGTAAGCGCCTTTCAACTCGTTCCGGTTAGCCACTAAAGCTTGCTGTAATCGGACTACTTCAGCTGCAGCTGCATCCGGCATCATGGCATGCACAGGGACGCCGGCAAGCCGTGTGTCACACAGGCAGACAATATGGAGACTCCTGCCTACGGGCCATGTGTTTTGCCCAAAGAAGCTGTATGACAAGGAAACACTGTTGAAAGTTCATGCTTCAGAGAATGAGCAACAGTGTTGACGGAAACATGGAAACATGCCGGTCACCCATGCTGACGCAGAAGTCAAACTGAGCCCGTCCCAGCTCTGCAAGTAGCAGCAAGCGACGTGGCCATGCTGCAAAGTGACACCCAAGGAATCCAAGTCTGCAAGTGCGCTGCGTTGACAGCAGCCGGCATGTCACAGTCTCACAACATTTTCACTTGTACGCAGGCAAGTCAAAACAAGGCTTTGTAAGCATACACCATACGGCGTCGCTCTGGCCACAAACATTGCACTTCCTCTCGGGTTGGTTTGACCCCTTCGGGGAAACTCACCGGAAAATCCATTAACTCCCGCAGCTCCCGATGGAGTACTTGCGGATCAGGCGGATTGGTGCATCCGACCGCTGCGAAGCTACTGCGCCATGCCTTCTGCGCGAAAAATTCACGCGGGCATTGCATCAGCTCCCAAATCCATGCCAGGGGATTCACCAAACCATGCTGGGAAGTTGCTTTCAGACCTTCGTGCCTTGCCCGCAAAAAGGCTTTGAAGCCAGCAAATGCACAAATGTCCAGCGGCTGCAGCACATCAGTGCATTGCGCCGGTATGTAAACCAGCTGCACCTTCTGCCTCTTTGCCGCTTGCATGACCTCCTTTGGCAAGTGGCTAGGCGCACAGTCCAGCAACAAGATACCTTGTTTGCCTGGATACAGCTTCAGCACCTCACCAATGTCTCGCAAGAGTTGCACCATGTTCGCAGCAGAAGTCCATGCAGACTTTTGCGCAATGATCTTCAATCGGGTTGGTGGCAAGGCTTTCTGTGCCCGCAGCAACTTGCGCGTCAGCCTCGTCTTGGAACCTATCAGGTAATGTGATAACTTCCCTTGGACATCTGTAGCATTGCAAATGAGGCTGAGGTATGTCCAAGCTCCTCTCCGATCCTGCTTCGACACTTTCGCGACCGCAGGAGCCACCACATTGCCAAGCCGCGGCTTCATGGTATACCCTACGCTCGTCTCATCAACATTCAACATGAGAATGTCTCGGTCGGCAAACTTCTGGTATAGATAGCGCAGATGCCGCCAAAAAGCATTGACCTTGCAGGACAAAGCATGCGGTGTGGAAACAACACCGACGCATCCAAAAGGGTGCAGCAATAGAGGGCGAGAAAACAAACCCGAAAACTGGGACCAGAAATGGGGCCCTTAAGGCTAATCCTGTGCATGCAAACAATATACGGCAACGTACTCGGACCCTTTTTTGGGTCCGGAATCTGGACCCAAAAAGGGGGCCAAAATACTGCAGCAGTTTCCTCCCGTCCAAGGGACTTTCGCTTTTAAAACTGCCGGGTCCTTGTGCACCACCTGTTTCAACACTTTGCGGCGGACACCCCAACGCGCACGCCACTTCTGCGCCCACTTGTTCACGTAGCGTCGCGGAGGGACACCCACGTCGAGCTGATGGCCGATAAAGGCATGCTCCCAGTGCAAGAAGACGTCCATCGAGGAAGGGGCCACACCATGCAAGACATTGCAATCACGCACCCAATCCGAAGTTGCGGCCTCTGCCAAAAAGGCGTGTGCCCTCTGCGCTGCTAGCTCGCCGAATTCCAGCCAGTCTGTTGGCGGGGATTCCAAAAAAAGCTCTTCTAGGGCTGCAGCTGTTGGGAACCCAGCATCCTCAGGGCGCTTGTACGTGGATAACCTGCAAGCCACGCGGACAGCGAGAGCTATGTTGTAGTTGGACAGCACATACACAGCTAGGGTCGTTCGGCGAGCTGCAGGCCCCAGGCCACAACATTGCACTCTCTTTTGCTGCCGTCTGGCCTGCTGGTAAGCGCCTTTCAACTCGTTCCGGTTAGCCACTAAAGCTTGCTGTAATCGGACTACTTCAGCTGCAGCTGCATCCGGCATCATGGCATGCACAGGGACGCCGGCAAGCCGTGTGTCACACAGGCAGACAATATGGAGACTCCTGCCTACGGGCCATGTGTTTTGCCCAAAGAAGCTGTATGACAAGGAAACACTGTTGAAAGTTCATGCTTCAGAGAATGAGCAACAGTGTTGACGGAAACATGGAAACATGCCGGTCACCCATGCTGACGCAGAAGTCAAACTGAGCCCGTCCCAGCTCTGCAAGTAGCAGCAAGCGACGTGGCCATGCTGCAAAGTGACACCCAAGGAATCCAAGTCTGCAAGTGCGCTGCGTTGACAGCAGCCGGCATGTCACAGTCTCACAACATTTTCACTTGTACGCAGGCAAGTCAAAACAAGGCTTTGTAAGCATACACCATACGGCGTCGCTCTGGCCACAAACATTGCACTTCCTCTCGGGTTGGTTTGACCCCTTCGGGGAAACTCACCGGAAAATCCATTAACTCCCGCAGCTCCCGATGGAGTACTTGCGGATCAGGCGGATTGGTGCATCCGACCGCTGCGAAGCTACTGCGCCATGCCTTCTGCGCGAAAAATTCACGCGGGCATTGCATCAGCTCCCAAATCCATGCCAGGGGATTCACCAAACCATGCTGGGAAGTTGCTTTCAGACCTTCGTGCCTTGCCCGCAAAAAGGCTTTGAAGCCAGCAAATGCACAAATGTCCAGCGGCTGCAGCACATCAGTGCATTGCGCCGGTATGTAAACCAGCTGCACCTTCTGCCTCTTTGCCGCTTGCATGACCTCCTTTGGCAAGTGGCTAGGCGCACAGTCCAGCAACAAGATACCTTGTTTGCCTGGATACAGCTTCAGCACCTCACCAATGTCTCGCAAGAGTTGCACCATGTTCGCAGCAGAAGTCCATGCAGACTTTTGCGCAATGATCTTCAATCGGGTTGGTGGCAAGGCTTTCTGTGCCCGCAGCAACTTGCGCGTCAGCCTCGTCTTGGAACCTATCAGGTAATGTGGTAACTTCCCTTGGACATCTGTAGAATTGCAAATGAGGCTGAGGTATGTCCAAGCTCCTCTCCGATCCTGCTTCGACACTTTCGCGACCGCAGGAGCCACCACATTGCCAAGCCGCGGCTTCATGGTATACCCTACGCTCGTCTCAGTGATGACTCATCAACATTCAACATGAGAATGTCTCGGTCGGCAAACTTCTGGTATAGATAGCGCAGATGCCGCCAAAAAGCATTGACCTTGCAGGACAAAGCATGCGGTGTGGAAACAACACCGACGCATCCAAAAGGGTGCAGCAATAGAGGGCGAGAAAACAAACCCGAAAACTGGGACCAGAAATGGGGCCCTTAAGGCTAATCCTGTGCATGCAAACAATATACGGCAACGTACTCGGACCCTTTTTTGGGTCCGGAATCTGGACCCAAAAAGGGGGCCAAAATACTGCAGCAGTTTCCTCCCGTCCAAGGGACTTTCGCTTTTAAAACTGCCGGGTCCTTGTGCACCACCTGTTTCAACACTTTGCGGCGGACCCCCCAACGCGCACGCCACTTCTGCGCCCACTTGTTCACGTAGCGTCGCGGAGGGACACCCACGTCGAGCTGATGGCCGATAAAGGCATGCTCCCAGTGCAAGAAGACGTCCATCGAGGAAGGGGCCACACCATGCAAGACATTGCAATCACGCACCCAATCCGAAGTTGCGGCCTCTGCCAAAAAGGCGTGTGCCCTCTGCGCTGCTAGTTCGCCGAATTCCAGCCAGTCTGTTGGCGGGGATTCCAAAAAAAGCTCTTCTAGGGCTGCAGCTGTTGGGAACCCAGCATCCTCAGGGCGCTTGTACGTGGATAACCTGCAAGCCACGCGGACAGCGAGAGCTATGTTGTAGTTGGACAGCACGTACACAGCTAGGGTCGTTCGGCGAGCTGCAGGCCCCAGGCCACAACATTGCACTCTCTTTTGCTGCCGTCTGGCCTGCTGGTAAGCGCCTTTCAACTCGTTCCGGTTAGCCACTAAAGCTTGCTGTAATCGGACTACTTCAGCTGCAGCTGCATCCGGCATCATGGCATGCACAGGGACGCCGGCAAGCCGTGTGTCACACAGGCAGACAATATGGAGACTCCTGCCTACGGGCCATGTGTTTTGCCCAAAGAAGCTGTATGACAAGGAAACACTGTTGAAAGTTCATGCTTCAGAGAATGAGCAACAGTGTTGACGGAAACATGGAAACATGCCGGTCACCCATGCTGACGCAGAAGTCAAACTGAGCCCGTCCCAGCTCTGCAAGTAGCAGCAAGCGACGTGGCCATGCTGCAAAGTGACACCCAAGGAATCCAAGTCTGCAAGTGCGCTGCGTTGACAGCAGCCGGCATGTCACAACAAGGGCCCTCACTGACGACAGCTAGTTTGCAACCGTCTGGCGACCCCTTTTTTTGGAACCGGCCGTGGCCTCAGTCTTGTCTGTATAAGGGCTGGCTACACTGAATGAGAATCGCATTCCCTTCTAGCCATTCCCGATCTTCTGCAGCGAGCTGCTCCAGTTCGGTGGTCCAGACATTGGATGTGACAATGAGAGCGACATTCCAAACCCAGATGCGATAAACATACATGCCTGTCGCCGAGTGCCCAAGTGAAATTTCGGCAGGCGGCGCCTGAAACAATTTTTTGTGCTTCAAGTTCAAGATGGACACTAGCTTCATCAAACACCACACACCGGTGCCGTAGCACATCATATTCCCTCATGTCGGGCTCCAACACCCCGGAACAATTGGTTTCATACGTGTGATCTGCGCCAAAGAGAGACCGTGCATAGACAGTCTTCCCCAGGCGCGTTGGGCCATTCAGCACCAAGAATTTTCGGCGATGCATAGGCCGCGTGAACTGTGGCAAGAACAGCTGCGTCACTTCTGGTAGTTCCACTGGCTCTTTCTGCAGTGGGCGCAAGAGCTCTGCTGCAGCAGCCTGCTGCTGCTGAATGTACAGCTCCCGTTGTTTCTGGCCATGGTACTTCAGGTTCTCACAGTAAGCACGAATGTTGCGCTTGCATTGGACGTAGTGCTGCTCGGCACACTCCTTGTTAATCTTATCCCCCTGCCAAAGTCCAGTCACCCAGTCGGGGCTCACTGTGAAAGTCTGGCAAGTGGTCTGGCGAAAAATGGACCCTTTCTTCTCCACTTGGAGATAAAAGTGCCCTTGATCCAGTGCACGACGGACTGACCGCCCACGAGCCTGCGAGGAATCCAAGGAGATGTGCGGCTTGCACCCACGAAATGCCAAACTTTGTCCAGACAGATGCACTTGTCGCCCTGGCCGCAGCATGCGGGTGCATGGGCCAGGAAGGTACGGTGCTAGAGCCTATCTGGTTCTGTTAGCCATCAGAACCAAACATGAAACAGGACCGAAAAGTATGGGGAAGGTGCGTCCTCACATTGGGCTGCGAAAAAGAATGACTGGCACTGGGAATGAAAGATAAAATGACATGATTCAGGCTTGCGAGAGAGGTGCCCGCATTGCTGCCGAGTCGCGGGTGTCAAACATCATGTGCAAGTGAATGGAAGGCACTCTGCGTTGCAGCGTCACCTCTGTGTGGAGCTCCAGGGCGGTGCTGACCCGTTCAAAGCGGTACTTGTTGCTGAGCTCGGTCATCCAACTTTGAAAGTCATCCCAAATGGCAAGCACCTGCGGTGCGTTTCGTAGGCCGGCACTGAGCAGATCAATGTCGACAGATGGTCCTGCCGCAAGCAGGTCCAAGGAAGGTTGATGCTCAATCATGCTAAAGGAGCCACTGTATCGGAACATAGTACCAGTGCCCTTGTATGCTTGCGGCGATGGCTCGTTGACAATCGGCTCTTCGACATGCCCCCCTGCCAGTAGGTCACGTGCAGCACGTGCAAACTTCACAGGAATTTGCGGCAACATGTCGCGCAAAATCTGCGGCCTGTCGGCTTGTGCAAATGAAGCTCTCCACCGCTGCCGCTTGGCGTGTCCGTGCTCATTCCGAGCGGCCATTCGCTGCGCAGCCCATTTGTCGCGCAGCCATATCAGCAGCTGCTTGCGTGCCTCCCGGTCAGGGGGGCCGTTTGGCGGCGGCTGCTTACCACAGAGTCGCCGTCGGACAGGCATGGCGGCACTGTGGCTCAATGATCATGTTCTTGTTTTGCTGCGTGACATGAAGGGGCCCTCATGGGAAGTTAATACCCTGGCAGCTAAGCAGTCGATGACAAAGCGACCGTACAATGAACAGCATGCAATGCCTCACCATGCTCTGTCTGGATGTGGGCACGGCGGCGGCACCCAAACAGCAGACCAAGCCTGCTCGCAGGCATGAGGACAAGCAAGCTTCACATAGAGGAGCAGGAGATAGACGCGTCAGTTCTGGACATTGATGAGTTCAAATTGGTTATAAATGGGAGTCTATAAGGTCGAAATGGGGTTATGACTACTTATAACTGGTCAATGGCCATAACTGGTCTAATAGCAGAGCGGGCCAAAGAAAAGACTACAAGGCAAACAAGTGTGGGCAGCGGCTCAGCAGCTTTGTTTTCGTCAAGTACGCACGGACTTTCCGCGCCACTCGAGACTGTTGTCCCAGCGCTTGCATGGCTGAAAAACCTTGGCAGGAGCATGGAGAGGACCAAGCGACGGGTATGGACTGCGACAAAACCCAGACGACAGCACGGACAGGATCGGTCGGAGGACCGCGGAGGACCAAGCAACGGGAAAAACTATGGAAAAACGGGGGCAAAAATGGCGGTCCCCCAAATCCGCCTCTGGGAGAATAGAATTATTTGTAGCTACAAGCGAGGTTGGAGGACCATGTTGAAGCATGTTGTTCTGTGTCGCCACCATTATTTGTAGCTACAAGCGAGGTTGGAGGACCATGTTGAAGCATGTTGTTCCGTGTCGCCACCATTATTTGTAGCTACAAGCGAGGTTGGAGGACCATGTTGAAGCATGTTGTTCTGTGTCGCCACCATTATTTGTAGCTACAAGCGAGGTTTGAGGACCATGTTGAAGCATGTTGTTCTGTGTCGCCACCATTATTTGTAGCTACAAGCGAGGTTGGAGGACCATGTTGAAGCATGTTGTTCTGTGTCGCCACCATTATTTGTAGCTACAAGCGAGGTTGGAGGACCATGTTGAAGCATGTTGTTCTGTGTCGCCACAATTATTTGTAGCTACAAGCGAGGTTGGAGGACCATGTTGAAGCATGTTGTTCTGTGTCGCCACCATTATTTGTAGCTACAAGCGAGGTTGGAGGACCATGTTGAAGCATGTTGTTCTGTGTCGCCACCATTATTTGTAGCTACAAGCGAGGTTGGAGGACCATGTTGTAGCATGTTGTTCTGTGTCGCCACCATTATTTGTAGCTACAAGCGAGGTTGGAGGACCATGTTGAAGCATGTTGTTCTGTGTCGCCACCATTATTTGTAGCTACAAGCGAGGTTGGAGGACCATGTTGAAGCATGTTGTTCTGTGTCGCCACCATTATTTGTAGCTACAAGCGAGGTTGGAGGACCATGTTGAAGCATGTTGTTTGTGTCGCCACCATTATTTGTAGCTACAAGCGAGGTTGGAGGACCATGTTGAAGCATGTTGTTCTGTGTCGCCACCATTATTTGTAGCTACAAGCGAGGTGGAGGACCATGTTGAAGCATGTTGTTCTGTGTCGCCACCATTATTTGTAGCTACAAGCGAGGTTGGAGGACCATGTTGAAGCATGTTGTTCTGTGTCGCCACCATTATTTGTAGCTACAAGCGAGGTTGGAGGACCATGTTGAAGCATGTTGTTCTGTGTCGCCACCATTATTTGTAGCTACAAGCGAGGTTGGAGGACCATGTTGAAGCATGTTGTTCTGTGTCGCCACCATTATTTGTAGCTACAAGCGAGGTTGGAGGACCATGTTGAAGCATGTTGTTCTGTGTCGCCACCATTATTTGTAGCTACAAGCGAGGTTGGAGGACCATGTTGAAGCATGTTGTTCTGTGTCGCCACCATTATTTGTAGCTACAAGCGAGGTTGGAGGACCATGTTGAAGCATGTTGTTCTGTGTCGCCACCATTATTTGTAGCTACAAGCGAGGTTGGAGGACCATGTTGAAGCATGTTGTTCTGTTGTCGCCACCATTATTTGTAGCTACAAGCGAGGTTGGAGGACCATGTTGAAGCATTGTGTTCTGTGCTCGCCACATTATTTGGAGGTACAAGCGAGGTTGGAAGGACCATGTTGAAGCATGTTGTTTCTGGTCGCCACCATTATTTGTACGACAAGCGAGGTTGGAGGACCCATGTTGAAAGCATGTTGTTTCTGTGTCCCACCATTATTTGTAGCTACAACGAGGTTGGGGGACCATGTTGAAGCATGTTGTTCTGTGTCGCCACCATTATTGTAGCTACAAGCGAGGTGGAGGACCATGTTGAAGCATGTTGTTCTGTGTCGCCACCATTATTTGTAGCTACAAGCGAGGTTGGAGGACCATGTTGAAGCATGTTGTTCTGTGTCGCCACCATTATTTGTAGCTACAAGCGAGGTTGGAGGACCATGTTGAAGCATGTTGTTCTGTGTCGCCACCATTATTTGTAGCTACAAGCGAGGTTGGAGGACCATGTTGAAGCATGTTGTTCTGTGTCGCCACCATTATTGTAGCTACAAGCGAGGTTGGAGGACCATGTTGAAGCATGTTGTTCTGTGTCGCCACCATTATTTGTAGCTACAAGCGAGGTTGGAGGACCATGTTGAAGCATGTTGTTCTGTGTCGCCACCATTATTTGTAGCTACAAGCGAGGTTGGAGGACCATGTTGAAGCATGTTGTTCTGTGTCGCCACCATTATTTGTAGCTACAAGCGAGGTTGGAGGACCATGTTGAAGCATGTTGTTCTGTGTCGCCACCATTATTTGTAGCTACAAGCGAGGTTGGAGGACCATGTTGAAGCATGTTGTTCTGTGTCGCCACCATTATTTGTAGCTACAAGCGAGGTTGGAGGACCATGTTGAAGCATGTTGTTCTGTGTCGCCACCATTATTTGTAGCTACAAGCGAGGTTGGAGGACCATGTTGAAGCATGTTGTTCTGTGTCGCCACCATTATTTGTAGCTACAAGCGAGGTTGGAGGACCATGTTGAAGCATGTTGTTCTGTGTCGCCACCATTATTTGTAGCTACAAGCGAGGTTGGAGGACCATGTTGAAGCATGTTGTTCTGTGTCGCCACCATTATTTGTAGCTACAAGCGAGGTTGGAGGACCATGTTGAAGCATGTTGTTCTGTGTCGCCACCATTATTTGTAGCTACAAGCGAGGTTGGAGGACCATGTTGAAGCATGTTGTTCTGTGTCGCCACCATTATTTGTAGCTACAAGCGAGGTTGGAGGACCATGTTGAAGCATGTTGTTCTGTGTCGCACCATTATTTGTAGCTACAAGCGAGGTTGGAGGACCATGTTGAAGCATGTTGTTCTGTGTCGCCACCATTATTTGTAGCTACAAGCGAGGTTGGAGGACCATGTTGAAGCATGTTGTTCTGTGTCGCCACCATTCTAAAGGTGTCCCTTCCCACAGGCATGGTGCTTTTCTTCCTCCTCTGGGTCTACAGACCTATACATACATATCTATATCTACGATTATCTACGTAGATATATCTCTTCATCGACATATATATATATATACATACCTTTCTCTCCATGTCTTTCTCTATCTCTCTATCGCTCTTTTATTCTCGATCTACATATATCTCCATATACATGTCTATCGCTATCTAGAATCGGTACTAGAATGAAATACTCTAACGACTGGAAAGCGGGATCTTGAGCACTTTCATGCTGACAGCTTTGAACCAGGTAAAACCAAAAGACTGATCTTTATGTGCACATCTCCTGTTTTTTTTCAAAATGCAGCATGGCATTGAATGCTTGAAAGTCCCAACGCGAAGCATTGGCTTTTCGAACCGGATCACGAACAGTCCCGATCACCGACTTGCATCTCGAACATTCTTTTCCTTTCGAACCGGATCACGAACAGTCCCGATCACCGACTTGCATCTCGAACATTCTTTTCCTTTCGACCCGGATCACGAACATTCCCGATCACCGACTTTCATCTCGACCATTGTATTGAAAAGTGAAACGAACGCATTGGGATGAGGAAGCGACCAGTTTCATATCAGCCACCTCCTAAAAAACTAGTCTTGTACGCATTTTATTTCGAGGTCTCTATTCTCCAAAGCACCTGTCTGTCTAGATCGATATAAGGCTTTCTGGGGTATGTTCCGACTTGTCTTTTGTAAAGAATCCACCTTGAAGTCGTTTCAAAGTTCTTCAAACCTAAAGTTTTGCGTTTGGCAAAGCTCAGCTGTGTCTCATAGATTTTCTGTCCGCGTCTCCTAGATTTTATTCCAGTCATTATCCCCATTGGTGGTTTTGGATGGATAGGGCAATTCAGGCATCAACATTCCTTGAATTGGGCAATCCATCCTTTAGGGGGTCATTACACTCCCAAAAATTAGCATAACCCCAAAAATAGTGTCGCGGATGAGATAGGGAGGTTCCCGGTTCAACCAACCCTTATATAATATCCAGCAACCAAGCTATCTAATCCGCTGGGGGGGTTCCTACACCGATTTAATCAAATGGGGGTGTGCTTCGAAGTTGCTACGCACGGAGCGGTTCGCTCCCCCCAATTGACCAAATCTGTTCCTAATTATATAATATTCTCTTATATTAATATATGTATATACAAATATATGTACGTACGCATCTATCATCCCATATCATCTTTGACATTTGCTGTCATGAAACATTGCAATCCCAATAGTTCACTCACCTGCATGGTTTGGCCATTTGGGGATGATTGAGGTCGTTATCATTTACCCTTTTCCGACAATCTACTAATTCATGCAAGCACCCTCATTTTGCGGATGCTAGGCCTGGGAACTGGGTGTCATGCTGGTTGGTTACCCATCAAAAGTGGTGGTCGAACCGGGGAAGATTGATAGACCTCAACAGCGTTTTACCGTCTGGTAAATTAACATAGACCGTGGGAGATAGGGATGGAAGACTAGTTGCCATTAAACCTTGGTGATTTTAAGGGTCTATGTTAATTTACCAGTGGGTAAATCACTTTAACCATA